GGGGGGGGGGGGTGTACACGCGTGCCGTAGTTGTTAGATCATGGACCTCGAATCCCTACAGCGCTGGGGTGGCGCGATATTGGGGAGGGGTAGTCAGCGAGTGGGAACGCAGATTGTCTGCCGACTTGAGCTTGTGGGGCCCATGGGCCATGTGTGCATCCTTAGGTCCTCGGCCACACGCTTACTTCTAGTTTCGCTGGGTTTTTTTTTGTTGGCTTGTTGTGTTTTCTGTTCTAATATCTAGTTGTGTTTGTTTTTGTTTTAACAAGGGCACCTGGCAGAAGTTCGTGGACTTGGAGTGGAGGACCGTGGCGGCCGCCGACCTGCTGCAGGTCACCAAGACCGAGGGACAGGCAAGACAAGACTGTTCGTTGCCTGCAGTACCTCATGGAAGATAGATATGTTCTCACAAGAAAATGTCGCGCGGGTACTGTAGGCTGTGTTGCGGTATACAGTTGCCAGGAACGGTCATCAAAGTTATGATATCGCACAAAGACGCGTTTCCATGTCCACCTTCGCACACACCGGTGCAAGTTGAGGGTATACCTGTGCAGAAGATGGAGAGACAACCTTCCCTCGTTCCTTGGCCGTAGCACAATGTAGCGCACCGTGCTTGCAAGCGTGAACTGTCTGTTCAGCCGATTGAAACTGTCGGCTTCTCGTGGACCGAGGGTCGAACGTGCCTTCTAATTTGTCATTGGGCGCCTTCCTGAGATCAGTCACGCGGTGACCCTACGACTTAGGTTTTTAGCCCCCCTGTTACCCCCGTGAAACGCAAGGATGTTGACCAGCTTCTGGTTCTTCGTTGTCTAGCCTGGGCAGGCGAAAACAAATTGCTTCGTCCCGGCGTTGTAGGAACGAGAGGTCAAGGTTCCAATGACGATGACATGCGTGCACATGAGCACCCCCCCCCGCCCCGGTGTCAACTTGGTCCACCTGGAAAGGGATGGACGGGAAAGCATCTCATGACTTAAAAGAGGCACGCGAGACAACTTAGTCACCCCCCCCCCGTTGGAACCGCGTACCCCGCCCCTCAGCTAAATGCCTATTTCCGCACCCCACCCGACCAGGTCTGGCTTGCCATGTACCACCTCATGTGTGAGGAGGAGTGCCGGAAGCGGTACCACTTCAACTCCTTAAGAAAGAACAACATTCTCAGGGTTCGGAAGTACCTCAACGACATCCTGCTGGATCAGCTGCCGGTGCTGGCTGCCGTACAAAGGTAAGAAAAGAAAAACAAGAGATGGGGGTTCCCGCAAATTTGACATCTTCACTGCGAATGGTTCAGAAAGGGGACGGGTTGTCGAATCTGCTGCGGTCGCTGTTGCCACCGGGGACAGCAGGTGGGAGAGTACCCAGCAGCCTTGCCTCAGTGCTGATGCGGCGCAACTAATTTTCACGAAAGAACGCACCTCTCCGCATTTTTCGATGCAATGCTGTCAATAGGCAAAGAGAGCTCCACTCTCCTCTGGCCTACACCCACGCTTAACCACAAAAACCACGCGACTCACGGATCGTCAGGTACATGGACGAGCTCACGATCATGGAGGTCCCAGAACCGCCCAGCATGGGCACGACGGGCAGCCTCCTGATGGAGCAGATCCCTAAGGTGCGCCAGAGCCTCACGCGGGGCCACGATTGGGACGCCCTAGCTCTCAGGGCCACGTCGAAACCACCGGCTAGCGGGGGGAGCGGCGGTGCCTTCTGCACCTACGATGACGCCGATGACCCCGACGTCAAGAGCGCCGCTGCCCTCTTCTCAGCCGGGCAGCATGAGGATTGGGGCGGCGGGGCGGGGGAGGGTCAGCTTGAAGAACGCGGCGCTGTCGCTGCTTCTGCGGGAAAGGCGGCGGCGATGGAGGCCGTGCGGGCGGCAAAGGCGGAGGCCGGAGCCTCGCGCGAGAAGGGTTGGGGAGGGGGCAGCGGCGGCACCGGCGGATGGGGCGGTGAAGCGCCGGCCTCGTCGGTCCACGCATAGTATACATGTAGCAATCGAATGATGTGCATATCATACCCTCTCCAAGGGTGTGAGACGAAACTTTTTCATTTTGTTTTTTCCAAGTGTACAGGGTTTTGCGGAATTGACTTTCATAGTGTTGTCGCTGCCCCGTATGCTGGCTGCGCACAGATGGACGGTCTTGTATTCACAACTCACGCTGCTGCCTGAGTCCACGTTTGTGGATTCGAATGCTGGTATATGACACATATTTAGCTGGAATTCGTGTGTTGTGCAGAGAGAGAAGCTAGAGTACGAGCTGCGCTCCCATGGTTTGCCGATGTCGCACACCAGAGAGTGACATGTTTCTACTTTTTTTTCTCGACATTTAACCGTGCTGTATGCTTTAATGGGTTTTGGCTTGCATCTCCACAATCATCCTCACTTGACCGTACCTCTGGCATCGTGTCATTCTTGCGCTGTTGGTTCGGCGTCGGCCGGTCCATCGGCAACTCGCTAGAAAATTCCGGTATTATTCTGTCGTCCAGGCCTTTTTTTTATTGTTCTCATGTGTGTGTGTGCGTGATCCCGGCCGGTGCGTCCAGAAGTTGTACCGAACGGTATAACCAACGTCCAGAATATAAATGGGATGACAACAACGAAACAAATGTGTTGTCCCGGGTGTGCAGGGTACGACCGCCCACGCATGCACGCTCCGCATTGGTTTTAGGAGCGGCATGATCTTCTTGTCTGTGTCGCCTCCCAGCCGGCGCAAACTAAATGGGACTCGGCATAGGAGAAAGTTGAGAGGCGGTGGCGGTTGTAGTCGGGTAGGCGAGGCGGACCATAGGTTTGCGGGTCGTGCTTGTGCTGATCCGCACTCCATTTCCGTGGAAACCAAGTTTTCGCTTTGTGCCGTACCTCTTTGTTCTGCTTGTTTCCATTCCAAGATCAAAACTTTGGCCACCGTTTCGGAGAAAAGGGGCCGCAGACAAGAATTTGGAGCGATGATATCGCCTCTGCGCATAGTGTCGTATCGCCATCATACGAACGTGCTTCTTGCTCAAAGACTAGCTGCCGAGGGCGTCCGAGCGCTGCGCAGGCTGCGTTCGGTGCCTGCTCTCGCACACGCGGTTTGTCGTACTGTATGATACAAGCGTTTTTACTTTGGTTCTCGAGACTCTCTGCAAGGGTACTCTGCTTATGAGTACCACGTCGAGCTACAGTACCAAACGACACAGTACCCATGGTACCCCGCGGGCACAGGATAGATACACCACGGAGGAACACTAAAATAAAACCAAACTGAATCAAGCCCAGGGATCCATCCCACAAATGTTTCCATGTAGCCCGGCGGCAAATCGAAGGAACAAACATGACGTGAATTCGGTGCCAACAGCTTGTCACAGGAAAGACCCACCCGTAGTCAAGGGAGTAGTGCTACGAAGACCTTCTTTTCTTTTTCTCCCTCCAGGCAATAACTGCAAAACACACACTTGCCAACTGCTGTGTAGCACATCATCGCCAACAGCTAGCGCGCACGCTGTGACAACACTCAAGATCTCAATCGCCACATGCAGCAAAACATTGACACTCTTCCTCATCTTCTCCACACCATATGCGTATGAGAGACAACCTCAAGAGGAATGTACATCATTCCCCGCGACCCCACACTCCCCCCCCCCTCACAATGTACAGTGCCGACAAGCGGGGTCCGGCCCAACAAAAAGCGGCCCGCCCTTGCTGTCAAGGGGCGGCGACATGAGTGGCCCCGGTCGTCGACGTGCCGAACGCAGACCCAGCTCCCACAGCGCGATTGACCCAACATATCAAACGAGCTGATCTACTGCTGCGGTGGTTATTGCGGTGCCGCCCCACTTCCCTTCGTGCGACCCATCCCCGTGCTAAGCACGTGCATTGAGTTCAACCTGATGCAAAGCTTCCCAACTCGCAGAGGTATTTTCACACCAAAGGTCGCTTGACATCCATGTCAACCATACCGTGCCCTCTGCTACCGCTACGGCCGCAGCCGCGTCCTCTGCCCAATATTCCTTGCTGCTGCGTCTGGTGGAGCCGCCACTCTTGATGCTGCTGCTGCTGCTGCTGCTGCTGCTGCTCCTGATTCCGGCGAGGATGCATTCTGCTCCGTATCTCCGTTCACCAAACGAAAGATGTGATGCACGTGGCGTGGGTCGTTGCTGGCGATGTCCTGCACCACATGTTTTCGGGGGGGAGTTGTCTATCAAGACTAGCGTTTCCGTGATGGCGCTGCCGCCACACTCGCGTATCGTCAGATGCCATGCGCAAGCAAGCGAGAGAACGACTCCCATAGCGAAAACGACGGAGATCCGACACAACTCGTGTACCAGTCTAGCAGGTCCAGGTAGGCGTTGCAGAGAAGGTCTACACGGAGGGCCACAGTCATGGCGCCCACACCTCAGGGGCCTCTACTTATAGCTTTGACCGGGACTGGGTTGTTCCAGTTACCCACAAATGGCCGCTATGTATACCAGGATAAATTGTAAGGGGTTCTTAACGGGGCTCCGAAAATGATTCCCAAGTTCGTAAGTTTCGATATAATGCTGAGCATCGACTTCATATGCGCGGGCGCTGACTGCATCGCCTAGCCCCACCCTTGGCCCTTCGCCTTGTCGCACCGCGGCTTATGTAGACTATGCCGTAAAACGCAGCACGTTATTGCCCCTGGGTAACAAAAAGACACACATGTTTATCAGTGTGTGTTACGCTCCCGACAATCAAGGCTCATGGTATCTAACCGAGCCCGGCGTTGCGAGCTGCCAACCATTGGACCCAGACGACCACTGGTAAAACGCACGGCAGTCAGGTCACACGCCCAACAACACAAGCTGACCGGTACTCCGCAACGTTAAACCCGTGAGTCACAGACGATGCCACTACGTGTTTGCGACCAGCTCCAACAAAACGCTTTGTATGTAGGCGGCGGCGGTGGCGGCGGCGGCGGGCGGAGTCGGGGGAAAAATCGATGGCACCAACATCTCTTCTCCTGAAAACTGACCTGACACTCCAGGCAGCAGGCGAACGATGGGCAGTGCACGCAGCGGAAGAGGGGGCCGACAACGTCCCGGTGGCAGCGATCGCACCGGAGCGCGATCCCGTCGGCGATGAAGTGCCTCGAGCGAGCCGCCGCCGCCGGCTCTTGTTCGGTGAACGGCTGTGCCCAAAACCAAGCGGGAATGTGAGCGTGGAGGACAGCAAGAGGGGATAGGGGAGGGAGGAAAGTCTCGTTAATTTCCTTAGCTCCGTGAACGGCTGTACCAAAAACCAAGCGAATGAGAGCGGGGAGGACAGCAAGAGGGGCTAGGGGAGGGAGGAAAGTCTCGTTATTTTGGCTAAGCTCTGTGAACGGCTGTAGCAAAAATCAAGCGGATGAGAGCGTGGAGGACAGAAAGAGGGGATACGGGAGGGAGGAAAGTCTCGTTATTTTGCTGAGCTCCGTAAACGGCTGTACCAAAAACCAAGCGAATGAGAGCAGGGAGCGCAGGCAAGAAGGATATAAAGGAAGGGGTGGTCTCTCCGCCAGGGGGGAGAGACAGCAGGCGCACGATATTTTCGGAGTTGGGAGGTAGAAAAAGCCTAATAAATCAATTGTTTAATGGGGCGTCTTCTGTCTCGCCGTACCAGCGTAAAACATCACGGGGCAGTGAGCCTCCGCTGACAAGGTCATGGGTGAATCGAAGAATGACTAACGAGTCTTCCGCGCACAACGGCGACGCCGGTCCGTTGAGAGTTTCCACGATGCTGCTTGGGGGAGATTCCGTGCCCTAGGGACGCATGCTTTCGGCTCGGTGGCGGACTTACCGTTACCTTGCACTCTCCCCGATCGCCTCGGTAGGGCCGTGCTTGACTCCACAAGAAGCTCTTGCCGCAGCCATTCTGAACATTCCCGCCATGAGTGTCGACGCCTGGAGAAAGAAACGAAAGGAAACAAAACAAACGCGCAGGGTCTCAGTTTCGCCGATGATGGAACACACACCGCGTCCGTCCGTGTTGTATGCAGAGATGAAGTATTTGATTTGGGTCTGCGTGTTGCAAGCGGCCGCCCCGGTCGCCGAAATAAAGACCATGCCTTTCTTAAGAGTAGTCCGTCGAAACCGTCACTGCCTTGAGAGGCCGGAAGAGCGGCTCAAAACATCAACAGAAGTATCCACCAAACGAGTGCTGTACGTCTCCATTTTTGTTCTCGTTGTCATCCCCCTCCTATTTTATTGTCCATTGCTTCGTCGTTTGGATTCTCTCAGCTACTTCGCCTTCATTTTTCCATCTTCCCTCCACCCCCCCGGCGGTTTTGGAATGGCCATCGCGCCCTTTTTTTTGTTCGATGTTCCTCCTTTTGTTTCTTCGCAGTTCTCGTTTCCTGTCGCTACCAATCCCCCCCCCCACTCCCTCTGTTGAACAGTACATGAATTAATCCGTCCCCGTTTCCCCTTCCCTCCTCTCTCTTCTACCTCCCTGATCCAATGTCCTACTATAAGAAACATCCTCAGGCTGCAGAGACAGGGGCACGTACCGCACACCATCGAGTCGCAACCGCTGAGCTTCTCGATGGTCCTGCCGCAGCGAGGGCAGCACCGGCACCGCTGTTCCTTCCACTCCTCCATCCGCTCGTACTCAAGCCGCACGCGCTCCGCCTGGGGCCACCACCGACCGGGGAAGAGCGAGGAAGGGAAGGCGAACACAGTACCGGGAGATACCGTCAGCGGCGAGAGTTCAGGCCCATTTGCTTGGTCACCATATAACAGCGAATTCCCTCAGCAAGGGTTGTCAGATGAGGCGAGCGAGAGTTTGCGGGCACGTATGTACGCGCGTGTGCACGAACCTCTGGTTCAACTACCACCAGCACACCACCTACCTCGTGGCAAAGCACTGTCGACCTGCACCCATAGTCCTTTTCAGACAAACAGCAGCACAAACAAACGCAGGCACCCATAAACCTACTCACAGACATCAGCACAAATATACGCGGGAAAGCACAAAAAAAGGGGGGGGGGGGGGGC